ACCCCACTACAGCCTACACATATATAACATGCATATACTTTGACATATTTGAAGTGTAGCAGCGAGTGTCTCCATATCGAGAATGGTGACCCACCTGGCGAGCTATAAGGGTGCAACCGCGCACAGTGGTTGCGACCCTCGTGGCAGCTGGAGCGTCTAATTGGGCAGGGGGCAGCATGTACAGTACGCGAAACCGCCGTGCAGGGCGCGGCGGATTACCGCGGCCTTGCCGAAGCTGAACAGTCTCGCCATCTCGACTGCAACAGGCCAACCGAAGCGTCGCAGTGCAACTGTTATACAGTTGCGCTACGGTAACTGTCGGCCCTATCTGTTTCCTATATAACCCAATGTACTGCATTGTTATTATCACACAATTATCATCCTTGTGTCCGACTTTCCGTCGACCGCCGCAGTGGCACCACGTGCCAGGCCAGAAGTGCTACATCTGAGTGGCCATTGCCCTGCCGTAGGGACGTCGTTATACTCCTAGAGCATTCCGCTGCGCTCTAGCGACCTATGGATTTTATCAGAACTTACATACCTAAATGATGGGTCTGTTTGTGATGAAATTGATCGTGTTCAACACACGTAGCCCATGAGCGTAAGCAACTAGATTGCAGATCACGTTGCATGTTACGACCAATATGTGCATGCATATAAATGGATGGACTGTGATGAACACACTAAAATCTATCTACACTATCGAACAAAGATACGTGGGGTAATCGTCAATGCAATTACCGCGATAAGAGATCGACAACAATGTTAGGAACAGAATGAAGAAGAAATGTTTGAGTAAGAGAAGTGAGAAGTACTAGTACGAATGGCTACCCACTACAGCCTAAACAGCATGGTAAAATATTTTGACAAATAGTAGTTGGGGTTTATGTCAAAACATATATGTTTATATTGTTCTAGGCTGTAGAGGGTTTAGTCTTAAGGGTTACAACATTTATGTCGACCTTGTACTTGTACTCCCCTCTTGACTTGATGCACTCATCCTTAGTTTCTAACATGGTAGCAGAGCCATGGTTGTGACTGACCCTACTTTTTCGTCTCCTCCTGCGTCTGCCTTAGTCGCTGAGCTTGTTGACTTTGCTGCCCTGTGCCGCCTTGACTACGCTGCGAGTCTTGTTTTTTACTCTTCCTGTCCTCCGTCCGTCGGGGGTGATCTTGCCCTTGGCTGTGACGTCCTTGAGGACAGGCAGTTTGAGTTGGAGTGCATAGCGGCCACTGCACCTCATCTCGAGTCCACGCTACTTTGCCCTGAGGGAGACCCGGATGCACTAGAAATCCCAACCCCGCGCTCTTACGCAGAGGCGATCACGGGTCCGTACTCCTCTCAGTGGCAGATAGCTATGGACTCAGAGATGGCTTCCTGGAAGTCCACAGGGACCTACGCCGATGCAGTTCCCCCACCTAAGGCAAACATAGTCGATGACATGTTGATTTTCAGGGTGAAACGGCCACCGGGTTCTCCGCCTGCCTTCAAGGCGCGTTACGTTGCATGAGGCTTCAGTCAGCGTGAGGGGGTCGACTTCTTCCAGACCTTCTCACCCACCCCGAAGATGACCAGCCTTCGGGTGTTACTGCACGTTGCAGCACTACGTGACTACGAGCTGCACTCCCTCGACTTCTCGATAGCCTTCTTGCAGGGCAGCCTTCACGAGGCTATCTGGCTGCGCCGCCCACCTGGCTTCACTGGGTCGTTTCCTGCAGGTACCCAGTGGAGCCTTCGGCGGCCAGTGTACGGTCTGCGTCAGGCGCTCCGTGAGTGGCACGACACACGAAGGACTTGCGGCTCTTGGTTTCGCTCCCTCGACTGCTGACCCTTCGCTGTTTCTGCTCACAGACAATTCTCTGCCGCCGTTCTACGTTCTTGTGTACGTTGACGACTTGGTTTTTGCTACTGCTGACACTGTGGCTCTGGCCTTGGTGAAGGCGGAGCTGCAAGAGAGACACACTTGCACTGACCTGGGTGAGCTGCGGAGTTACCTTGGCTTGCAGATCATTCGGGACAGAGCACGCCGCACCATCACCCTCTCTCAGTCGCACATGGTGCAGCAGGTCCTTCAGCGCTTCGACTTCATGTGGTCCTCGCCACAGCCCACTCCTCTGTCTACCGGCCACTCGCTCTCAGCTCCACCTTCGGACGAGTCCGTAGAGCCAAGTGGTCCGTACCCAGAGCTTGTGGGTTGCCTCATGTACCTGATGACGTGCACACGACCTGACCTCGCGTACCCTCTCAGCCTCTTGGCTCGCTACGTGGCTCCCGGTAGGCATCGAAAGATGCACTGGGATGCTGTGAATAGGGTATTGCGTTGCTTGTGCAACACATCGGGCATGGGGCTCGTGCTTGGAGGACGGGGTTCAGTTGTTCTCACCGGTCACTCAGAAGCTTCTTGGGCTGACGACCAGACTACTCACCGGTCGACACAGGGGTACAGTTTCAGCCTCGGCACTGGTTCTGTCTCGTGGAGGTCCACTCGCTCTTCCTCTGTACTTAGTTCCAGCTGTGAGGCCGAGATCTACGCTGGGGCTATGGCTGCACAGGAGCTCCGGTGGCTGACCTACCTGCTAACCGACTTGGGTGAGCGGCCTCGTTCTCCTCCAGTTCTGTACGTCGACAACAAGGCCATGATTGCCTTGTGTCAGGACCAGAGACTGGAGCATAGAACGAAGCACATTGCTCTCCGTTACTTCCTCACGCGAGAGCTGCAGCAGCGTGGTCAGCTTCGTCTTGCTTACGTGGCCACTCGGGCCAACACTGCTGATGTCTTCACCAAGGCCCTTGCTTTTCTCAGCCCAACATATTGTTCTAGGCTGTAATGGGTTTAGCCTTAGGGGGTACAACATTTCTCCTGACCTTGTAATTGTACTCCCCTCTTGAGCTAATGCACTCATCCTTAGTTTCTAACAGTTTATAACTAGACAACATGTACGACTCGAAAATGTACGTTCGCACGTGCTCCATCAGATGTTCAAGTGCGCAAACACATAACGCGTCACGCCATACGTAACAATTCACCGATATTCATTTGAACCAATATATTAACATCTATGTAAATTGCTCGCGGATTAGCTCAACAAGGGTCTCGAATCCTGTGCGTCAAATCAACCATGCCTAGTTGTTTTGGAGATTTTTGATTGCTTTCAGGGATCTACAATCAATTTGTGGAGTCCCCAAATGAGCTTAAATGGGGCAGTATTTTTTTCAGCCCATAAAATAACCAGGCATGTCATGATTAGCACAGAGTGACACCACCCTTAGCACCCTTCCCTTAACAAGAGTCCAACTCATATGTTTTAAGGGGGCATTCTATAGGTAAAAGGGTTGTTGAACCTTTTCTGTGATTCAACCGATTCCGGTAGGTTCACTGCATGCACAATTTACATGCGCTATGAACGAACTCGTTACCCTGGCCGGAGTCCAACCAAACCATCTCCAGCTTCACCTTCGGCAACACCAAGGTGCCAGCAAGCAGCAATGTACACCAAACAGCTTTGAGAACTCCATTGATGCCTCTCGCACCATGCGCATCTGCCTGGCAGGCACAACAACCTGACACATCTGCTCGACGCATCTGTCTCGAATCCAAAGCCTTGGTAGTAGTCATTGGATGTTCTCAAGAGCAGTCGCTTGTAAGAGGAGTTAGCAAACTCAATTCGACATTCGAGTCGGCTCGCGATGACGACAGCGGGTGCTCTTTGAGCCCGAATCGTCACGTGTGAACAGTGTTCCAGGGTATTTCGAGCTGATGCCGTGTGTCAGTGTCAGCCGAGTCAACGGAATTTGATAATGCATTATACCCAGCGTTACTTCAGTTGCTGAAAGACTAACTTATCCCGATCAAACTGCTCATTATCCCTGAAAATGTGGGGTTTCGCACTCGAACCGACGAAGCGCATAGGAGGCGTGTCGCCTCCTCGCCGTCCGATCAGGCATCGACCCGGAGCTTCCAGGAAAACTGGCGGAATGTTAGACTGGATTCCCGGCGGCGCTGGCAACAGCTGGCGAACAATCTGTTCGCCTGTGGTTGCTCTCGTGGTGATCTGGCTGCTGGGAATGATAATCTGGAACAGCGGAATCATCAGGTACAGTATCGTGACTATGTTTTACGTGCCTCAAACACGCATGTGAATAGAAAGGTCGCCCTCTTGGTGATCTGGCTGCTGGGAATGATAATATGGAACAACGGAATCATCAGGTACGAATTCGTGCTTATCTTCTAGGTGCCTCAAACACGCGGATTGTATGTGAATAGAAGGGTCGTTCTCGTGGTGATCTGGCTGCTGGGACTGATAATCTGGAACAGCAGGATTATCAGGTACGCACCCGAGACCATCTGGGCTGCATTCCCGGCTGTGCTGGCAACAGCTGGCGAAGGATATGCTCTCGTGTGATCGCTCTCGTGGTGATCGGGCTGCTGGGACTGATAATCTGGAACAGCGGGATTATCAGGTACGCACCCGAGACCATCTGGGCTGCATTCCCGGCGGTGCTGGCAACAGCTGGCGAACAATCTGCTCGCCGGTGATCGCTCTCGTGGTGATCTGGCTGCTGGGAATGATCATCTGGAACAGCGGGATCATCAGGCACGAGCTCGTGACAAAACTCAAACCTGTATTAGCATTTGCCTTCTACCACTTGCAATTTGAGGTAGGGCTGAGTTCCGTTCTCTGTTCCCCGCTTCACGTCTTCTTCCTTTCCCTTCGACTGAATGCACGTCTTCTTCCTTTCCCTTTGACTGAATGCACGTCTTCTTCCTTTCCCTTTGACTGAATGCACGTCTTCTTCCTTTCCCTTCGACTGAATGCACGTCTTCTTCCTTTCCCTTTGACTGAATGCACGACTTCTTCCTTTCCCTTCGACTGAATGCACGTCTTCTTCCTTTCCCTTCGACTGAATGCACGTCTTTTTCCTTTCCCTTCGACTGAATGCACGTCTTTTTCCTTTCCCTTCGACTGAATGCACGTCTTTTTCCTTTCCCTTCGACTGAATGCACGTCTTTTTCTCCGTCCTGCACTGCAGCCTGAAGAAGCAAACCACAGCTCCATCCGACTCACCTACCGGCCTGGACGCGTCATCTGAGTACGGCGACGATACCACTTCAATGGCTGATGGTTCCACTGATGACAGCTCGGATCTCACCCCCTCCTTTACCAATAAGATGTCGTCTGGGGGAGGATTCATGGGAGGCTTGGGAACAGGCTCGAGAGCTGGCTCGGGAGCAGGATTTGGAGCAGGTTCGGGAGCAGGTTCGGGAGCAGGATTCGGGGCAGTGGATGAAGGTCTGGATGCCGAGGATGGGGACGGGGAGACGGGTCTACAGTCGGGATTCCCAAGGTCCTCTGGCACCACTGGCGCTGGTCGGATGGGGGGTCTGAACTCAGGGGAATCTTCCAGAACTTCCGCCTGGGGCAACAGGGGCGGGTTGGGAGCAGATGGAGGGGAGGATGAGGATGACATGATGGGAACTGGTGGGAGTGGTGGGTCGCGGAATGGATTTGCCACCAGCAGTAGCAGCAGCAGCAGAGACGGTATGTGGGGAGGTAGCAGCAGTGGTGGTGCTGCAGGGGGAGGTAGACTTGATGGAGGTGGTTCTGGGGCAGGCGGAAGCAGGTGGGGAGGGGGAGGCGCGGCCACGTGGGGAGGGAGAGGTGGGATGATGGGTATGTCAGGGGAGGATGAGGAGGAGGATGGAGACAGCCGCGCTGGTGGCGGTGGGCTTGGGATTTCCAGCAGTCGTGTGCCTAAAACGGGTTCTAGATCATGGGGAATGGACGGTGAGGATGATATGGAGACTGGTGGTGGTGGGAATAGGGGCGGGTTGGGATCCCGAAGTGGGACGGGTGGGTTTGGTAGAGGGGGAAGGGGTGGGGGGAGGGTGAGAGGAGGTGAGGAGGAAGAGGAAGGGGAGGAGGAAGAAGAGGAGGAAGCGGGAGGGGAGGAGGAGGAAGAGGAAGAAGAGGAAGAGAGCGAGGAGGGAGAGGAGGGGGATGAGGAGGAGGAGGAGGAAAGCGATCGGGGACGGGGCAGAGGGAGGGCTAAGCGGAAGAAGGGAGGGCGGCGGGACAAAGGTGCTGCGGCAGATGAAGATGAGGAAGATGAGGAGGAGGAGGAAGGAGAAGGAGAGGGAGGAGACGAGGAGGAGGAGGAAGATGAGGAGGAGGAGGTATCCAGCAGCAAGAAGGGGAGGAAGGGCCGTGGTGCTGCTAGGAAAAAAACTGGGAAAGGAGCGAGGAAGAGAAAAGGAAGCTATGAGGACGAGGAGGAAGAGGAAGAGGAGGAGGAGGAGGCAGAAGAATCAGAAGAGGAGGAGGAGGACGCAGCGAGAACCAAGAAGAAGAAGCTTGGTGGCGCATCCAAGAAGGGGCGGAAGGGGAAGAAGGGGAGGAAAGCGACGAAGAAGGGGAAGCGGGATGCAGGGGAGGAGGATCTCGATTCAGCCAATCTCGATTCGGTGGACATGGAAGGGAAGAAAGCAGTCAACGAGGCTGAGAGAGCAGAGGAGGAGGCAGAGCGGGCAATGGCAGAAGCAGATGGGGAGACAGGTGCTAAAACGGTGGATAGCGCAGTTCAGAGCATGCCAGAGAGTGATGTGGCTCAGATATACTACTCTGTGAAGACTGCCCAACGAGGTGAGTGAGTCAAGGTTTTGAGTGAGTAAGGTGAGTAAGCCAGAGTGTCCCAATGTGAACGGTGTATGAGTTGCCTGAATAGCATGGTTCAGAGCATGCCAGAGAGTGATGTGGCTCAGATATACTACTCTGTGAAGACTGCCCAACGAGGTGCGTCAGTCAGGCTCTGTGTGTGAGTGAGTATGGTGAGTATGTCGACTAACAGTGTTTGAGTAAGGTGGTGTTGATCAGATCAGGGTTTGCTTGCGTGGATTTCTGAGTGAGTCAGGACTTGATTGAGTAAGGTGAAGTTGAAAACATGTCGACCCACCGGCTGCGCAACGTGTCGTTCCATCGCATCCCAGGGACCCCCGTCACGGGGCAACACGTGCTGGACTGAAATCCTTCCCACTCTTCTCCTGTGATTGCAAATTGCAGGCGTGGAATTGGCTCAACTGGACGACGAGGAGGAGGAAGAGGAAGACGGCATGTCGACCCACCGCCTGCGCAACGTGGCATTCCTGCGCATCCCAGGGACGCCCGTGACGGGGCAGCGAGTGCTGAGTTCCAACTAAACATCGCCCATTGCCTCACCCTCTGCTCCCCTTCCACAGGTGTGGAGTCGGCTCAAATGGACGAGGAGGAGGAGGAAGAAGACGGCATGTCGACCCACCGGCTGCGCAACGTGGCGTTCCTTCGCATCCTCGGGACGCCCGTGACAAGGCAGCGCGTGCTGGACTCAAATCCTCCCCTCTCCACTCTTCTCCTGTGTTTGCAAATTGCAGGCGTGGAGTCGGCTCAAATGGACGAGGAGGAGGAGGAAGACGAAGGCATGTCGACCCACCGGCTGCGCAACGTGGCATTCCTGCGCATCCCCGGGACCCCCGTCACGGGGCAGCGCGTCCTGGACTTTGAGCGCCAGCTGGCGTGTGTGTCGCGCGACGGGCTGTGGGCGGTGAACTCGACGCCAAGGTGGATGCCGTGGGACCTCAACCCGCTGACTGTTGCTCGCCAGCCCAACTACCGCTCCTGCGACCTGCTCTTTGCCAAGAGGTGCGGTTCAGTGCGGTGTGGTCCAGTGTGGTATGGTAGTCTGGTATGGTGTGGTACAGCGCGGTACAGTGCGATGGTTAGCGGTACACTTTAGGGGTTCATCCCAATGCTGGCGTGCGTGTCCCGCGACGGGCTGTGGGCGGTGAACTCGACGCCAAGGTGGATGCCGTGGGACCTCAATCCGCTGAGTATTGATCGCCAGCCCAACTACCGCTCCTGCGACCTGCTCTTCGCCAAGAGGTGCGGTGTTGTCCAGTGTGGTACGGTATGGTCTGGTATGGTGTGGTACAATGCGGTGGTGACTGTGCTGGACTTTGAGCGCCAGCTGGCGTGTGTGTCGCGCCATTTGACCCTCCCACTACATTTATCCCTCGTGCCTTGTATCGTTCCACCTCCCCAACCCTTCGTGTCTCGCTGTCCTGTTCAGAAAGGGCGGTGTGTTTGGGGCAGCAGCGGAGTGGGCACCCCTCCCGCCCCCACCGCTGCCCATTTCCCCACCCATTCCACTGCACTATAAGCCGATTTCCAAACCGCCTCAAAACAACACGAATGCTTCCTGCTCCGTCTGTCCCCCTTCCCAACCTCCCACCTGCCCAACCCTCCCCTGTTTGTCCTGTCCTATCTCAGGAAGGGCGGTGTGTTTGGGGCAGCAGCGGAGCGGGCACGGAGGTTGCCCAACGCAAGAGCAGCATGGCGGGTGCGGCGGGAGCTGCTGTACCAGTGGCGCCCCGCCAGCCCCCTCCGTTGCCCCTTCCAGCAGTTCGACCGCGCGGGGTTCTGCCGTGCTTTGAGGGGGCGCAACGTGGTGGTGGTGGGGGATGCGTTTAGTCTCGACTGGCACGACGCGCTGGTCAACCACCTTGTCACTGCGGGGACTAAGAACAGGGCAGGGCAGCTGGGCGATGCCTGGTAAGTCAGTCCTGAGGCGCCTCAAGAAGGAGTGGGTGTGAGGGGGCGCAACGTGGTGGTGGTGGGGGATGCGTTTAGTCTCGACTGGCATGATGCTCTGCTCAACCACTTGATCACTGCCCAGACCAAGCACAGGGCAGGGCAGCTGGGCGATGCCCGGTGGGTTCTGGCGGGGCTATGGGGAGTATTAAGCTTTTATGAGGGGTGCTGGGGGTTGCCTGGTGAGTCTGGGTTGCATTGCATATGTACACCCGTGGGTTTCAGGGTTTGCAGTGCGGTATGGGCAAGGGATCAGCAGCACAGCAGCATCTTGGGTTTGAATGGATCATTGCTCAAAAGGTCACATGCATTTTTCTCTCCCCACTCACCCACCAGGGCCAACGTCACAGAAGGGGCCTGCTTTGAAAGGGGACACCGCCTCTGCACCGACGTCCCACTCATTCCCCCCTCCACCCCCACCGCTGCTGCTGCTGCTGCTGCTTCTGCTGACTCCTCAACTCTTGATGACCCAGACTCTGATCCCGCCACTGCTAGTGCTACTGGTGTCGGTGGCTTCACTGCTGGTGGTTCGGCTGCTGCTGCTGCTGCCGCTGCTGGTGCTGGCGGTGGTGGTGGTGGAATGGGTGTTGGGGTTTCTGGTCGTCGTTCTCGCTTTGGGGCTGCTGCTGATGCATCTGAGGAGGACACAGGGGGAGAGGATGGGCAGGACAGGGGTGAAGAGGAGGGTGCAAGGGGGAGGCAGGCGAGTGGCGACGCGGGTGTGGGTGGACTCAGAAGTGGGTTTCAGAGGAAGGGCTGGGGACGAGGCAGAGGGCTGGCTGGGAGAGTGAGGTCTGGCGACTGGGAGGCGGACAAGAGGAGTGGGGAGGCTGGCGGACTGGGAAGCAGAGAAAGGAGTGAAAGTGGGGAGGGCGAAGAAGCAGAGCCAACGGGGTTTACTAGAGTGGAGGAGGAAGGGGAGGAAGGGGGAGTGGGAAGTGGGGGTGGCCGAGCAGCGAGGGCCGGGAGGAAGAGGAGGGCAGTCGGTAGGCAGGGGGTTGGCGGAGATGTGCTAAACCAAGGGCTTAGCAAAGAGGGCAGTGGTGCGAGTCAGCCCCTTAACAGCAAGGAGGGAGGGGGTGGTGTGGTGGTGAGGAGGAGGAGGATGGCGGGGTTCAATCTGCGGGTAGTGCTGAACGCCTTTGCAGCACCGGACACGGGGCGGCCCACGCGGCTCAACAACCGCTGGCTCAAGCGCCTCAAGAAGTGGAAAACCAACATCCTGGTGCTCTCCCGCACCCCGGCCTTTGGTGACAGTGAGTGGGGGGAGGGAGGGGGGTGATGGGGGGGAGGAGGGTTCTCTGTTGCGACTACCGTGGCAGGTCTTTAACCTTTCAAGCGCCTCAAGAAGTGGAAGACCGGCATCCTCGTGCTCTCCTGCACCTCCACCTTCGGCGACAGTGGGGATGTGGGTTCTCTTCTCTTCGTCGTCGAGTTTCAGACATGTCTCAGTGCAGCGCGCTGGGGATGTGGGTTCTCTTCTCTTCGTCGTCGAGTTTCAGACATGTCTCAGTGCAGCGCGCTGGGGATGTGGGTTCTCTTCTCTTCGTCGTCGAGTTTCAGACATGTCTCAGTGCAGCGCGCTGTGGATGTGGGTTCTCTTCTCGTCGTCGAGTTTCAGACATGTCTCAGTGCAGCGCTCTGGGGATGTGGGTTCTCTTCTCTTCGTCGTCGCCGCATCCAGCAGAGGAGGATGAGATGTTTCGTGAGAATGTATCTCCTGAGGCCTATGTTGTTGGATGCAGGAGGTTAGGGATAGATACCAGTGAGGGACCTGACCTGTATCTGCACATGCTTGTTATCCGTGCTGGCACAACGAACGAACATCCGTCCTAATGTTTCTCCCTGTCCTTCTTTTCTCTTCTCCAGAGGAGCTGATGCTGCAGGAGGTGCAAGACACCCTCGAAGCCGTAAGAGACCGGTACCCGGACATGCTTGTCAACTGATGGCCACGTGTAATGAGGGTATTTTTGAGACGTCTCAAAAATACCCTCATTACACGTGTTTTGAGACGTCTCAAAAATACCCAGACACGCTTGTCATCTGATGGCCTGTCCCCCTTGCCTTGCCCTTATTGATTTCCCAAATCTTCCAGAGGAGCTGATGCTGCAGGAGGTGCAAGACACCCTCGAAGCCATAAGAGACCGGTACCCGGACATGCTTGTCATCTGATGGCCTATCCCCCTTGCCTTGCCCCTATTTCCCAAATCTTTCAAAGGAGTTGATACTGCAGGAGGTGCGAGATACCCTGGACACCCTAAGAGACCTGTACCCAGACATGCTCGTCATCTGATGGCCTGTCCCCCTTGCCTTGCCCCTATAATCCAAATTCTTCAGAGGAGCTGATGCTGCAGGAAGTGAGGGACACGCTAGAAGCTGTGAGGGACCTGTACCCGGACATGCTTGTCATCTGGCTCAGTGCGGTGGGCGGCCATCCCAGCTGCCAGCACTTCACCCGCCCATACCACTTAGTCCCTTTCTCCCTTGCCCATACGCTTCCCCTCCTCCTTCAGAGGAGCTGATGCTGCAGGAGGTGCGAGATATCCTAGAAGCAGTGAGGGACCTGTACCCGGACATGCTTGTCATCTCATGGCCTGTCACCCTTGCCTTGCCCCTATCTCCCCATGCAATGCAAACAGAGGAGCTGATGCTACAGGAAGTGCGAGATACCCTCGAGGCAGTGAGGGACCTGTATCCGGACATGCTTGTCATCTGGCGCAGCGCGGTGGGCGGCCATCCCAGCTGTCAGCACTTCACACGCCCGCTCAGGACCCGCCCCGCCCTGCTGGCCGCCAAGGGGAAGATTCCCGACGCGTGGCTCCGGCATGCCGAGATGAACGCTGCCATCAGACCGCTGCTCAAGGTGTGTGATTGCTCTAGGCGTGCTTTAGTTTAGTTTACGTGCATGCCCGGCCCGCCCCACCACTGCCTGCCTTGCTGCTGCTGCTGCAGGTGGCGCTGGTGCTGGTGCTGCTGTGGTTGGTGCCCCCGCTTCTGACCTCTGCCCTCTCTCAACCCCCCTCCCCCTCCCCAAACCACACAGGAGTACGGGGCAGTGTACATGGACGTGGACTCGCCCACCTCCCTTACTAAGTCCTGACCTCTGTCTTCTCTCACCCGCTCACCCCCCCCCCCACCCCCCCAGGAGTACGGGGCAGTGTACATGGACGTGGATTCGCCCACCTCCCTTCGCCCCGACGGGCATCACGAGCGCATGGACGGCAGCATCAACTGCCACCACTACTGCATGCCCGGCCCGCTCGACCACTGGGTGTCTCTCTTCCACAACCTGCTGCTGCTGCTCGACCAACACTCCCCCCTGACCGCCCTCCCTGCTGCTGCTGCTGCTTCTGCTGCTGCTTCTGCTGGTGCTGCTGGTGCTGCTGGTGGTGTTGGTGGTGGTGGCGGTGCTGCTGGTGTTGGTGGTGGCGACGGTTTGTCTAGTTCTGGTTTCGGTGGTGCTGCCGGTGCTTCTGGGTCTAGTGCTGCTGCTGCTGGTGGGGTGCCAGCGGTGAAGGTGAGTGGGGTGGTGGGGGAGGGGGGAGTGGTGGTGGAAGAGGAGGATCTCTCTGACGTACCCAGAGGAGGGAGGTGGCGCAGCAAGGGGGACATAGAGGAGGAGGAGAGGGGGAGGGAGGATGGAGGAGGAGGTATGGTGGGGGTAGGCGGTTCGGAAGGGTTTGAGGGAGCAGGGATTGTGGGAGGGGGGATGGGAGTGGGAGGAGGGTTGGGTGAGGGGCAAGTGGAAGGGAGTGGTGGAGATGGGCGTGGAGGGGTGGAGAGCTCTCAAGAGGCAGATGCGGCCGGTGCAGGACCAGGGACTGTTGGTGCTGATGGTGCTGCTGCGGCTGCGTCTGCTGCTGATGGTGGTTCGGAAGGGGGGCCTGGGAGTGGTGAAGCAACAGGAGGGGTTGGAGGGGCGGGAGGAGGAACAACAGCTGCAGGTGCTGCAGAAAAGGAGGCGACAGCTTCTTCCGATGCTGGTGCTGCTGGCTCTGCCACTGCTGCCATGACCATCACTCCTGCTGCTGCTGCTGCTGCTGCTGGCACTGCCAGTGGTGGCGAAGGTGCAAGTGTTGGAGTGGGAGCGGGTAAAGAAGCAGCCACAGCCACTGCCACTGCCGCTGCAGCTGCGGCTGCTACTCCTGCCACTGCTGCTCCTGTTTTGGAGCGTAAGTGACTCCTTGAGTTGCCCCCTCCTGTCTTGTTGCTTTGCATTTGCCAGCCAACTTGTTACGATGCACCCTTCACGTCCCCCTCACACCCCCCTCTTCTCCCCACTTCACCCCTCTTACCTCCACGTCACTCCTCTTCACCCCTCTTCCCTCCCTTTCCTCCACCCTCTCCAGCCTGCACCAACTTCTCGGCGTGCATCCCAGGGACGCGCATTCGGGGCGAAGCAGCAGTGGCGGAGGCGCAGCAGGAGGTGGCGTGTGTGGCGGAGGATGGCAAGTGGGTGCGCTTCAACACGCCCCGCTGGCTGCCCTGGTCCCGCGACCCCCACACCAACCCACGCGCACCACATTATGGCACTTGTGATCTCATGCATGTGAACGAGTGAGTGCCTCTTTAGAGGTGCCTGAAAGGTGGACCTTTGAGGTGCATCACATGCGATCTCATGCATGCATGCCTACAAGTGAGCTGCGCGCTAGTGAGTGAGTGAGCTAGTGAGCGAGTGAGGGAGGGAGGCGCAGCAGGAGGTGGCGTGTGTGGCGGAGGATGGCAAGTGGGTGCGCTTCAACACGCCCCGCTGGCTGCCCTGGTCCCGCGACCTGCACACCAACCCGCGGGCGCCTCACTACGGCACGTGCGACTTGATGCATGTCAACGAGTGAGTGTGTGAATGAGTGGAGAGCACATGCCCTGCCCTGATCTCACGGCCCCCACACTAACCCGCGCGCGCCGCTCTACGGCACGTGCGACTTAATGCATGTCCACGAGTGAGTGCCACTAGAGGTCTGAACTGAATGCCTCTTCTGTTGATGTCTGCTTTTGAGGTGCCTCAAAAGTAGGCACCGCACTACGGCACGTGCGACTTAATGCATGTCCACGAGTGAGTGCCGTGCCACTAGAGGTCTGAACTGAATGCCTCTTAGTGCCGTGCCACTAGAGGTCTGAACTGAATGCCTCTTAGTGCCGTGCCACTAGAGGTCTGAACTGAATGCCTCTTAGTGCCGTGCCACTAGAGGTCTGAACTGAATGCCTCTTAGTGCCGTGCCACTAGAGGTCTGAACTGAATGCCTCTTAGTGCCGTGCCACTAGAGGTCTGAACTGAATGCCTCTTAGTGCCGTGCCACTAGAGGTCTGAACTGAATGCCTCTTAGTGCCGTGCCACTAGAGGTCTGAACTGAATGCCTCTTGGTGCCGTGCCACTAGAGGTCTGAACTGAATGCCTCTTGTGTTGATGTCTGTGCATGGGTTCAACCTACTATTCCTTCCTGTCCTCCCTCTTCCTGCTTCCTACTCTCTCCTTCCATCTCTCCTCTCTTGTCTCCACCTCCCCACCTCCCAGCCTCCCCAACTCCCCCAACACCTTCATTCTTCCCGCTGGCAGGACCGGGGGCAAGGGCAAGTTTCATAAGAATCATTTTGGGACATCTCAAAATACTTCTTCGCAGCAAGGCCTCCGCAGCCCACCTGTCCTCTCTTGACAGTTCCAACTCCCCCAACACCCTCATGCTTCCCGCCGTCAGGACCGGGGGCAAGGGCAAGTTTCATAAGAATCCGGGCGACCAGGAGTGGCATGTGCGGCCAGAGCTCAAGTACCAGTGGATGGCCAACTGTTTCTGCCCACCGTTCATGGGGTTCAACCGTCTCTTCCTCCTCCCATCCCATCTCCCTCATCCTCCCCTCCTTCCGTTTCTCCTCTCGTGTCCCCACCTCCCCACCGCCCCAACCTCCTACCTCCAACCCCTTTTCCTTTTCTGCTGACAGGACCGGCGGTAAGGGCATGTACGGGTATGCAGCGGACAAGTTTCGGAAGAATCCGGGCGACCGGGAGTGGCACATGCGGCCAGAGCTGAAGTACCAGTGGAAGGCCAACCGCTTCCGCCCGCCGTTCATGGGGTTCAACCGTCTCTTCCTCCGCCCCCTTCCCATCTCCCTCGTCCTTCTCTCTCCTTCCTTTTCTCCTCTCGTGTCCCTGCCCCACCTCCCTGCCTCCCCAACCCCCACATTCCCAACACCTGCAATCTCCCCGTTGTCAGGACCGGTGGCAAGGGCATGTACGGGTATGCAGCGGACAAGTTTCGGAAGAATCCGGGCGATCGGGAGTGGCACGTGCGGGCGGCGCTCAAGTACCAGTGGAAGGCCAGCCGCTTCTGCCCGCCCTTCATGGGGTTCAACCGGCACAAGTTCTGTGCGGCGGTGGGGCGGCGTAATGTTCTGTTTGTGGGGGATACGACTCAGCTGGCGCTGCACGACGTGTTTCTCAACCATGTCACCACCATCGCCACTCAGAAGGAGATTGGGGATATCGCCGACGCCTGGTGAGGCTTGGGGGAGGTGCTGTCCATGCAGTGGGGGCTGGGCTGGGGTGCCTGCTAGTGGGGGTTTGGGATGCCTGCCGATGGGGCGGCGCAGCGTGCTGTTTGTGGGGGACACGACTCAGCTGGCGCTGCACGACGTGTTTCTCAACCATGTCACCACCATCGCCACTCAGAAGGAGATTGGGGATATCGCCGACGCCTGGTGAGGCTTGGGGGAGGTGCTGTCCATGCAGTGGGGGCTGGGCTGGGGTGCCTGCTAGTGGGGGTTTGGGATGCCTGCCGATGGGGCGGCGCAGCGTGCTGTTTGTGGGGGACACGACTCAGCTGGCGCTGCACGACGTGTTTCTCAACCACGTCACCAACATCGCCACTCAGAAGGAGATTGGGGATATCGCTGATGCCTGGTGAGGGAAGGGTGTGTTGTGCGGTGGCAGTTGGGAATGCCTTTTGGTGGTCGGGGTTGGGAGTGCATGCTGATGGGATTTGGGTGGTGATAGTGAAAATCCTCAAAGGCCCTCATGTGCTTCCCCACCACAGCTCGACAGCCAACAACCAGCCAGCGGTGCTGCAACTGATGAGCCTGACCCAAATGCCCTCATCCCTGCTGCTCTCTAATCTCCCATCCCCATCCCGTTCTCCTCTCCCCCTCCCAATGGCAGGACGGCGCCCAACAACCAGCCGGCTTGTGCCACCAACAACCCCCACGTGGTGTGCTCCGACATCGTCCCAGGGGGCTTCACCTTCCGTGTCGCCCACAACAACCTGCTCACGCCGGATACGCCGGGAGGAGGGGCGTTCAACCAGCGGTGGCTGGGGCACCTGCGCAAATGGAACGTGTCAATTGTGGTTCTCAACAAGGGCTTTGAGCACCGCCCCAGTGAGTGCTGGGTGAAGGGGAGATGGCTGGGGGAACAGTGGTTGGGGGGACTGTGGCTGGGGACCGACTCTCCTGGGGGGGGAAGCGTTCAACCAGCGGCAGGTGGGGCACCTGCGGCAGTGGAACGTGTCCATTGTGGTTCTCAACAATGGCTTTGAGCACCGTCCCAGTGAGTGCTGCTGCTTCAAGGTGACTTTTGAGTCGACTCAAAAGTCATCTGCTTCTTCAAGGGCAGGGACACAGTGGCTGGTGTTAGAATTGAACCGATGGTTTGATTAGGAATCACAAGGGTATACATAGTTGGAGCCAGGGAAGGGGGGGGGCGCTGGTTACCTAGCCAACATTATTGCCCCCCACCAATAAGTTGGGTTAGGGAATTATTGGGGGGTCCCATTAATGTTGGCCAAAGTTGGGCCAACCTTATTGGGGGGCCAATAATCTCCCAACCCAACCTTGGGGGCCAAATAATTGGGCCAAGGTTTGGGTTCCAACCCCCAACAAGGGTTAACCCTAGTTGTGCACCCAAACATATTTTGGGTGCCTATCTCTATCCTCGTAGGATCAATGCAGGATACAAAGGAGTAGTATAATCTAACAGCTGGGCTGGCAGTGGTTGGGAGGGCAGTGGTGAAGGGGACATAGTGATTGGGGGACGCAGTGGTTGGGGGAGGGGCGTTCAACCAGCGGTGGCTGGGCACCTGCGGCAGTGGAACGTGTCGATCGAGGTTCTCAACAAAGGCTTCGAGTGGCGGCCGAGTGAGTGCTGCTTCGTTAAGGACAGGGACACAGTTACCGGGGGGGGCGGTGGTTGGGGGAACAGCGGTTGGGTTGGGGTTGCAATTAACCTGCGCTACCTGGGGGACCTGGGGTAGCTGGACACTGTGGAACGTGCTGGACAGTGATTGTCAAGTCAACTGACAGATATTATCAGCCTAGTGAGCTTTCAAACAGAAGTCTGTTTATCGATCATCATCCTTCACTAATCCTTTCATCTCCAACCATTCCCGTGACTATTTGTCTCCCCCCACCACTCCTCCCCCCCCACCCCCCCCACCCTCCCTCCCTTCCCCCCGCCTTTTTTTCTTCCCTGCCAGCCCCGGTGTATCTCAAGACGCTTCGTCAGACGCTCACAAAATTCCGCCAGGTGGCACCTGACACGCTGCTGATTTGGCGATCCACGTGGCGCGGCCATGAGGGCTGTGAGAATGCCACGGAGCCGCTGGCAGCGCCACCCGATAATGCCACCCGGGCTGGTCCATGGGCATTTGTACTGGAGCAGAATGAGGCAGTGCGGGATTTGATTCGGGTGAGTTGGATCTCACAGGTACCGTAAGTGAATTTTGTGCTCCTAGAATGTCGTGTCCTCTCTTGGCACTGCTTTCAAGTTTGAATTCAATGTTTGGTCAGAAACTGCCTCATGGTAGTTTGGGGAAATTTTACATTATCGAAATATTTTTGAAGTGAGTTACCCTTTTTTTGTTTCCCTCGCCCCCCCCCCCCCTCCTGCAGGAATTTGGTGGTGTGTTCATGAATCTGGATTTTTCCTTGTCGATGCGACCGGATGGGCACCTACGACAACTGAATGGGCTCACAGATTGCTACTACTACTGCTTGCCTGGTCCTGTTGACCATTTCATGCGGCTTCTTTACAACTACCTCCTCATCCTCGATAGCAAAGGGCCAATTTCATCGGCTCAAGGAGGGTCTAAAACATAGCAGGGCTAGGCTTCTTGACATAATGAAGAAGTTTTTGTGTATCTTTAAAACGCGTGACTTTTTAATATGAGTTGGTGGGTGGGCTTGTACAATACCGAACAATCCGCCGACGAATACACGGTATCTTGTTTGGTCGTGGACTTGAAAAGGGGCGCGAAGGCAACTTCCCACCAATCAAATTCCACCATCGTGATGCTGCTTTCTTGACGATCCTGCCGTTCGTGCTATTGCAAGGCCTGTTGGACGGCCTCGATTGCGAGATCTCTGAGCTGAGTCCCACTCATATTTCTGGACCGATCCATCCACATGTGTGGTTTCTTCTAGCGCATCTCTATCGTCCACGATTTCCGCATCGACGGCTGTGTGCAGTTAAAGCTGCGGTCTACATACCTCGAGGGACAGGCCCTGGTTTATCACTTGAAAACAGGGTAGCAGACTCTCCAGAAGAAACGAATGATCGAGGCGGAAGGAGGGAGCGGGGTGGGCGCAAAGCTTTCCGCTTGGTTGTTTGTGTTTGGCGCTGAAATTTCCGCCTTTCCGCGGATTTGTTCCCCCAAGAAAACCCAATCGCGAAATTGTTTCACATCGCCAACTTTGTGCTAACTCATCGCACAAGTGTTTGGGGGAAAACCACACTTCGCTCTCAAGTCATCGCGCACCAAAGGGTGTGCACCTAGATTACCCCCCAAAACCCCCTTTTAGTATGTAGACCGCAGCTTTAACGCCTGGAGAACAGGCAGATCTGTTTTCGGGGTTGCGTGTTCTCTTCTGTTCACGGCGCAGCAGCACCTTTAGCAAAGAGATGAGGATTCAGTCAAGCTTGTAGTGACAGATGAGTTAGGGGACGAGATGATAGTTCCACTGGCAGTGCTCGTCTAGTTCACTGAATCCTTGCACACGGACTGCGCTTCGCATTAAGGCTGTGGAGTTTCTTTATCATCCGGTATCTAATTCTGCAGCGTTAGACTTATTCTAGGCAACGGTTTTCTTTTTCCAGCATTCGCCTGTACGGTGAATCCTGTCATCCAGCATTGACCACATCTGACTCTATCCTGACCAGCATTGTTGATACTTGAGTTGCTTATATATTTATATATACGGGTTTTCAGCATTCACCCTTACGGTGAATCCTGTCATCCAGCACTGACCACGTTTCACCCCCTCCTGACCGGCATTTCCCCTCTCTGTTAGCACTTTCTATTCCAGCAATCTCCGCGCGGCTACCCCGTATTCGCACTAACAAACTTGATTCTCGGTTCTTTAAAGTGATTACACATTAGCTGAATTCGTCATAAATGGCATCAGTCGCGTTGGATCCTCCCCGCCATTGCTGGCGCGTCGCTCGGCCTCTTCCCGCCGTGATTCGCGCGTCCGCGTGTCGGAAGGGCGGAGTCAGTCAGCTCAAGAGCAGCCACCGACGGCTCCTCGTGCTCACCGCCAAGCCGAAATGGCGACACGGTACGGTCCTAACCCGCTCTTCTGTTTCGATTTTCGTTGCCCAGTTTGTCTGACAGTTTGTCTGACAGTTTCTGTATTCAAAATTCTTAAGTTCCTCTTCTACCAAATATAATTCTCTCTGCTTTCTTTAAGCCAGCAATGTAGGCTTTTCCAATCGCCGTTCTTAAGGCTCATTGAATGGCTAGGTTTTCCTCGCCGTGCCCATCGTCCCCTGCAGTTACCTGAAAATACAATCCCTGGTTGTCCCCTAAAATGTCCGTTACCTTGTTGTTTCCTACTTCCCACATTCCTCCTATCAGTGACGTTCAAGCGTAGCAGTAATAAATGCCACGCGTCTCACTCCGAGTTCAATGGAAAGTAAGACTACCGCTTCCATTTCCTCCTCTGCTTCCACTTCCCCCTCTGTTCCACATCCTTCTCTGCTTCTACTTTCCATTGTTCCCGCTTCCATTCTCACCATCACATCCCAGCTCCGGTTTCAGGTGACTCACACGCTCCTACCTCACACATTCCCTCCCCTCCTCGTCACACGCTATCAGGTCGCACTTCCCTCGCAACGGACACGGCAACGGCAGCTCCCGCTGGTCCCATGACCCCCCTGGGTCCGGCTCTGAGCGAGCGAGTCACCAGAACGCAGCACGGAACCATGAGAGGGGATACGAGGGGCGATATGAGGGGCGGTATGGGAGAGGGTATGGGAGAGGAGACGTTAGAGGGTACGCTCAGAGTGGGTCCGAACGGCCCGCTTCTCCAGGCTCTTCCCCTTCCCCTTCCCCCTCCTCGTCCACCTCCCCTTTCGCGTCCTCCTCGCCTCCCTTCGCCAGTTTTGCCCAGTCCGCCGCACAATCCCCTTCCTCGCCTGCCACCTCAACTGCCTCGCCAGATTCGAATGCTGCGGCTGGGGGGGCAGCTTCTGGGGATTTTCCGTTCCAATCGCATCACACGATCCTGGACGTTGATCAGGTTGATCCGACGGCTGGCGACGCTGCCGCGTGGGGTGGGCTGGACTCGGCTGCAGCGGCAGCGGCTTGGAAGAGGAGCTTTCTGAAGCGGGTGGTTGACACGATCACCGATTCCAAATACTTCAATGTAAGCACATGGCGCGGCAAGCGCAGGGCTTTGTTTGAGGTGCTTCAATTAAGCAGCCTTCTGAAGAGGGTGGTTGACACGATCACCGATTCCAATTACTTCAATGTAAGCATGTGGTCACATGGTGATGTAAGCACTCAGCAATGTAAGCACAGAAAACCGCGTGTATTGAGATGATGAGGCGCCTCAAAAGCGGAGCTTTCTGAAGAGGGTGGTTGACACCATCACCGATTCCAAGTACTTCAATGTAAGCATGTGGTGATGCTAGCTCAGGGGGGCATGGTTTGAGGTGCTTCATGTCAATATCTTCCTGATGCGGGTGGTTGACACCATCACTGACTCCAAAAACTTCAATGTAATCACGTGGTCACATGGTGATGTAAGCACTCAGCAATGTAAGCACTCAGCAATGTAAGCACAGAAAACCGCGTGTATTGAGATGATGAGGCGCCTCAAAAGCGGAGCTTTCTGAAGCGGGTGGTTGACACCATCGCCGATTCCAAATACTTCAATGTAAGCACAGGGCAGTATAAGCACTTCGAGTATATGCACACTGGCTACTTCCACAGGGCAGTGTAAGCACAGTATGTGCCACACACTGAATTTGATGCCCACAGCTGGAAATGCAGAGACGTATCCCACAGTTATCGTCTCACTCATTCTCGTTCCGCCGTTGTTTTCCCTCCCACCTTCCGCTCCCGCCCCCCCCTCCAACCTCACCCGTCCACTCATATCATCCTCCCGAACCCCCTTCCTCATCGCCTTGCTCCACTGCTCAACCCCTCTCCTCTCCGCCAATCAGCTGCAGACAGCAGGATGGCTCATGGCAGGCGCATATCTCTCAGTTAGCTTCTCATTCATTCTCGTTTCCAAATTATTTCCCCCTCCACCTACCACCTTGCTCCATTGCACCACCCCTCTCCTCTCGGCCAATCAGCTGCAGACAGCTGGATGGCTCATGGCGGGGGCTGCCACGGCGGCAGTGGGCGTGCAGGTCACAGCACATATCATCCAGGTGAGATGAAACTCGCATGTCGCTTAGGTGAGTGAGATGAAACGCGCATGTCATTCAGGTGTGATAAAACGTGCGTGTCATTCAGGTGAGATGAAACGCGCAATTCATTCAGGTGAGATGAAACGCGCAATTCATTCAGGTGAGATGAAACACGCACCATTTCCATCAACAGCCCTCCTCCATTCTCGCTCCCCTTCCTCCCCGCTTCTCCAGGCCATCGAGTCCGTCCCTCTGCTTGCCTCACTAGAGATTCTCGTTGGTGCTGCTGTCACCACCAACGTCGCCACCAGCAACGTGACTACCACCAGCACCACCAGCACCACTAATCAGCAGTTCATCCCTCCCCTCCCCTCTCCAGGCAATCGAGTCCGTCCCTCTGCTTGCCTCACTAGAGATTCTCGTTGGTGCTGCTGTCACCACCAACGTCGCCACTACCATCGCTGGAGGCGGGGAAGGTGAGTGTATGGGGGGGTTGAGTTGAAGAGCGCAGGCATAATTGGGGAAAGGGAAGTTGAAGGGGGGGGAGAGGAAACGAGGGACAGGAGAGTGTGGCAGGAAAGGTTGTGGGAAAAAGGTGAGTTGGATAGCTAAAGATATTCGGAATGCGAGAATGGGAAGGTAGTGAAAGGTTGGGATTCGATTCGTAATGCCTTTCAAAGCGCCCACCTCTCACCTCCCTGTCTCTCCGTCTCCACCCTTCATCCCTCCTCCCTTCGCCCTCTCCTCCTCTCCCCCCACTCTTGTGATCCTTCCCCTTCGTCCCCACATCCCCATCAGCGCGCGAGCGTCTGGAGCAGCAATGGGACAAGTTCGTGAAGCGGATCAGCGGCACGTATGGGTTGCCTCCCCCACCATATACACACCTCCTCCCCCCTCGTGCGCCCCTCTTCCCTGCCTGTGTGCGCCCCTCCTCTCGTCCCCACGCCCCCGTCAGCGCGCGAGCGGCTGGAGCAGCAGTGGGACGAGTTCGTGAAGCGGATCAGTGGCACGTACGGGCTGTCGGACCCGGTGTTTGACGAGATGGAGAGTGGCAAGGACCTCGAGGTGGGCTGGAATTGAGGGTGGGTTGAGTGTGGTTTGTGCATGGCTGCCTGGCTCATGGCTGGCTGGCTGGCTGGCTCATGTGTGGCATGTGTGCGTCGAGTCAGTGGCACGTACGGGCTGTCCGACCCGGTGTTTGATGAGATGGACGGGGGCAAGGACCTCGAGGTGGGCTGACTGTGGTCGCTGTGTATCTGTAGATGGTTCGTTTAGCATGTGTGTATTGAGGCAGCGGCACGTATGGGACCACAGCATGTCCGGCCCGGAGCTTGATGAGATGGAAGGGGGCAAGGACCTCGAGGTGTGCTGCATGCGATGGAGGACTGAGTGTGATTCTGGGGTGAGGGTGGTTTGTACATGTGTGGCTTACTTTTGAGTCGACTCAAAAGCAGCTTTTGAGTCGACTCAAAAGCAGATGGAAGGGGGCAAGGACCTTGAGGTGCGCTGCATGCGATGGAGGACTGAGTGTGATTCTGGGGTGAGGGTGGTTTGTGCATGTGTGGCTTATTCTTTGGCTGGTCCATTCCATTCGGCATCTGTGCATCGAGTCAGCCGCGCCTTGGGGCTCTCTGACCAAAGAAAACGGTCATCTTCCCTCTAGTTTTATTGATGTGACTTTTGAGAATCTCAAAAGTCACATCTACATATCTGACCAAAGAAATTGCACTTCCCTCCGTCACACACATCTTGCCCTCCAAAACTACCACTCCGCGCCTACTCTGTTATTCCACGCAACCACCCCACTCTTCCCTTTTTTTTCTTCCACACACACAATACACACGCACACACTACAGGCCCAGATTCAGGCCCAGATACAGCGCACTTATAGCCGATGCAGCACTGCATCAGAGCGAGCAGCGGGCGTCTCACTTCATGCCTCCTTCCTTCCCCCTTATTCCCACACACACACGCATGATACAGGCCCAGATTCAGGACCTTTTGTCACAGTGCAGTGCGATTATAGCCGATGCAGCAGCGCAGCACAGCGAGCGGCGGCCCTCAGGAGAAACCCAGCAGCAGAGGGAGACGCGGGCAGCGGAGGGATTGCGGAGGGCCGCAGAGAGACTTGACCCGAAGCCTGCAAACAGCACAGGAAAGGGGACAGAGGGGGAGGAGCTGAAGGAGGGGAAAGGGAAGGAGGGTGGGGAAGCTACTTCTGAGGTGTCTCAGAGAAAGGCTGAGGTGGAGGTGGGGGAGGAAGCAGTGGTGGCGGTGAGAAAGGCGGAGCTGGTGCGGGTGTTATCTGAGTTCGTGGAGAGGAGGGAGGGCAGGGCGAGGCGGGTGAACCGCATGCTGCAGCAGGAGGTGCAGGCGGGAAGAGGGTTGGAGGGGCGGCTAGGGGACCTGACTAAGGTGAGTGAGAGTGACTGTAGCTTCACCAGGGTGCTGGCTATGGGATGACAATGGCAGGGCGAGGCGGGTGAACCGCATGCTGCAGCAGGAGGTGCAGGCGGGCCGGCGGCTGGAGGGGCGACGGGGGGACCTCACTAAGGTGAGACTGTGGGGGCAGTAGGCGGGATACCAGTGGGGAGTATGGGGGGAAGGACCTGCAGGAGCGACTGGGGGACCTCAGCAAGGTGCTTGCAGGAGGGAGCAAGTGGGGAATAATATGCCACGCCCTCCCATACTATACCATTTCACGCCCTGCCCTGCCATGCCATGCATTTCCCTGCCGTTCACATGATCGCTCGTGTGCTCCTCTCTGTCTGATCCCCCTCTACTCCACACTTGCCATGCACCTGCCATGCTGTCATGCTGATTTTCTTCCATGCTGGTTTGCTTTGCCATGCTGCCATGCTGCCATGCTGCCATGCTCACAGGCTCTGGAAGTGCGCACTTTAGCGTCCGTGGCAGCAGCACAGAACGTGGCCCGTCTGCAGGCACTCAACGACTCGCTGCAGGTGAGCTGTGTGGGCTGTGTGCGCTAACCCACATGGAGATGTGAGAGTGTGGAGAGAATTGGTGTTGTGAGGGTATCACTTGTGGCAGCAGCACAAAAACGTGGCTCGCCTGCAGGTGAGACGAGCGGGCTGTGTGCGCTAAGCCACTCTTTAAGAGAGAGATGTGGTGATGTGAGACTGTGGAGGGATGTGGTGATGTGAGTGGAGAGAATGTGGTGATGTGAGTGGAGAGAATGTGGTGATGTGAGTGGAGAGAATGTGGTGATGTGAGTGGAGAGAATGTGGTGATGTGAGTGGAGAGAATGTGGTGATGTGGGTGTAATCACTCGTAGCAGCACAGAACATAGCTCGCCTGCAGGCACTCAACGACTCGCTGCAGGTGAGCTGAGCGGGCTGTACAGGCAGTAGGGACTGTCATGGCATTGTCACACACACGTAGCAGTGCAGCACATAGCCCACTTATGCACAAGTCCATGCTCCCTGAAATGCACCCCCGTTTCCACCCTCTAAAGCTCTTTTCTCACCCACGCCCATACATGCCCCTCTCATTTGTTCTACCTATCACACCCCCCCCATGCCCCTCCCATGCCCCCTCTCCACCTTATCCCCTCCCTCGCCCCCCTCCATCCTGCCCGTGTGGTGGCAGGCGGAGCGCAACAGTGTGACAAGTCAGCTGTCCGCGTTGACCAATCAGATCACAGGGCTGTCCACGTCACTGGACGTGCTGACGAGGCAGCAGGACTCTGTGTCCCAGTCCAACACGGTGGTGAGTGGTGATGTTCGGTGTGTGTGGGTGGGTGTGTGTGAAGGTGGGGCTACTGTGTGGTGTGTCCCAGTCCAACACGGTGGTGAGTGGTGATGTGCGGTGTGTGTGGGTGGGTGTGTGTGAAAGGGGGGCTAATGTGTGGTGTGTCTGGAGTCCAACACGGTGGTGAGCGGTGACGTGCGGTGTTTGTGCATGTGTGCATGCGAGTGTGTGGTGGGGAGTAGGGGGGAAAGGAGATAACGTGTGGCCCAGGCCAACACTGTGGAGAGTGGTGATGCGGGGGGGTTGTGCTGGTGAATGTGTGCATCTAAACTCATAGTTAAGCGTTTCTTTACAATACTGCTGCCCTTCTAACTATGAGTTTAGATCCCAGGCCAACACGGTGGAGAGTGGTGATGCGTGGGGAGTTGTGCTTGTCGACTTTGGAGACGTCTCAAAAGTTGGTGGAGAGTGGTGATGCGTGGGGGTTGTGCTTGTGAATGCGTGCATGGGGGATGGGGGAGGTGAGGGGGAATCCGTACCGCAATCCAATACGGTGAGTGGTGACATGTTGCCTTCACCACCGCTTCCCCAACCCCCCCTCTCCCTTTTTTCCCCCTTTTTTCCCTTCTCCCGTTTCCCCCTTCTCCCCATTCCTTCCCCCTTTTGGCCCCCCCCCCAGCTGCGCACTCGCCCTGCGCAAGGCGCTGCTGGAGAAGCGCCAGCTGGCGCAATCATTGCGGGCGGCGCACCGCGTGCAGAGTGAGCGGGCGAGCGACGTGGAGGGGCGGCTGCGGTCGGTGGGGGCACAACTGAGGGCGAGCGAGGGGGCGATGCAGCGGCAGAGGCAGAGAGAGGAGGTGGACCTTCAGACGTACCTATCCCAGCATACTGCTATCAAGGTATTCCGTACAGAGCAGAGGGCAAGGTCTGTGCTACTAGCGAACGTGATATGAGTATCTAGTAGCTGAGACATTGCCCTCTGCTTTTGGGACGTCTCAAACAGAGGGCAAGGTCTATGCTACTAGCGAACAGTGGTACATGGGATTGAGCCGGTGGCACAGGTGAGGAGGGCGAGCGAGGTTGCGATGCAGCAGCAGAGGCAGAGGCAAAGAGAGGAGGTGGACCTTCAGACGTACCTATCCCAGCATGCTGCTATCAAGGTATGTTGCAGGCCTCCTAGAGTCGTTCGTGTGTCGAGGACCCCTTGAGTCCTCACTTCGAAGCACAGAGCAGAGCAGAGCAGAGCAGAGGGTAAGTGCTCGCTCCCCCACCTCCCCACTATTCCTTCTGTCCTCTGCAGTCGGAGCGCAATGCAGCATTAGCAAGCACGGTATGAGCGACTTGGGAGCCCTGGGTAGCGTCTGTGAATCGTGCACCCTTTTGAGTCGACTCAAAATTCGACGCAGCATTAGCAAGCACAGATGAGCGACTTGGGAGCCTTAGGTGGCGTCTGTGAATCGTGCACCCTCCATTTCCTCGTCCTCCTCTCCCGCTCATCCTCCCCTTACCCTTCCTCTCATTCCCCCTGTCCCCCTCTTCCTCCCACTCTCCCCACTATCCGCCCTGTCCCATCCAGTCACAGTGCAATGCAGCAGTGGTGCAGGCGAGTGACTTGGAGTGCCGAGTGGCACCTGTGCTTCATGCACCTTCTCTCCAGTAATTTTTGTTTCTGCTTTGCCCTTGCGCCCTCTTCTTTCCCCATGCAGTCACAGCGCAATGCAGCAGTGGTGCAGGCGAGTGACTTGGAGTGCCGAGTGGCACCTGTGCTTCATGCACCTTCTCTCCAGTAATTTTTGTTTTTGCTTTGCCCTTTCGCCCTCTTCTTTCCCCATGCAGTCGCAGCGCAATGCAGCAGTGGTGCAGGCGAGTGACTTGGAGCGCCGGGTGGCGTCAGCGGAAGCTCAGCTGAAGGAGGTGAACCGATCGGCGCGACCATCTCTTCATCACCAACCACGAGGTAGCGATTGCTTGCCTCCCTCCCCATCACGGGCTAACGGGGGCACCACCTAGTGGCATCTGCAGAAGCTCAGCTGAAGGAGGTGAATCGACTCGCGCGACCACCTCTTCATCACCAACCACGAGGTAGCGATTGCTTGCCTCCCTCCCCATCACGGGCTAACGATTTAGTCAAAGGGGGCACCACCTAGTTGAAGGAGGTGAATCGCTCGCGCGACCATCTCTTCATCACCAACCACGAGGTAATGACTGACTGACTGCTGGGTACTTTGGGACAACCATAAAACAACCATGAAACATGAGGAACAAAGGTGTGATTGCGCATAGTGGTATCTGCGGAAGCGCAGTTGAATTGAAGGAGGTCCCCCGCTCCCGTGATCACCTCTTAATCACCACCCATGAGTTAATGATAACCCGCTGCCGTCAACTGGGCACACGTGAGGCATGCATGGGCACAACTGTTCGGGGTTATCTCTGTTGACACCCCTCCTCACCCCTGTTCATTTTTTAGGCGCCTCAAAATACCCTAGGCTAAATTTTTGAGGCGCCTAAAAAATCACACGTGGGGCATGCATGGGCAGAACTGTCCGGGGTTATCTCTGTTGACACCCCCTCCTCACCCCCGTTCATCCCCTTCCATCCTTCCCCCTCCCAGTTAAATACACGCTTAACAGCCGCAATGAGTGAGAACAGGCTGCTGCAGCAGCGGGTGGATCAGCTGCAGCGCACCAGCCGCCACTCCGCTGCCGCATTCAGAGACAGGGAGACCACCCTCAAGCAACACCTTGCGGAGCGCCATGCTGAGCTGGCAGCCTCCCGCAGCAGGCGGCTGCTGAGCTGGCACGAGTGACGTCCAGACTGGAAGCTGAAGTGGTAAGCGGTTCTCGCACTCCCATTTGATAATTTATATAATTGGTAAGCGTTCTCCCAATCTCAATGCATATCGGGGGACAGTTGTTATTCGACAGAATTGCGCTTGTTCCTTTCCGCGCCCTGTGTTTGGTGTGCGAGCGCAGGGAGCAAGAGAGCAGCACAGGAGCAGGTGGTAGATAGCAAGGGGGCAGTGAGCTGGCTGGAGGCGCAGACAAAGTCAGACTCAACTTGGTACGATTTTTTAGTCGACTCAAAAATCGTCTCATCACAGGCGCAGACAAAGTCAGACTCAACTTGGTTGCCCACAGTTAGGAGTCAGCCCTTCTTGTTTTCCCCTTTCCACCCCTTGTATATTCCTCCCGTGTGTGTGTGTCATTGAGAGACACAGAGAGCGGCGCAGGAGGAGGTGGTGGAGAGCAAGGGGGAGGTGAGATGGTTGGAGGAGCAGGTGGAGTCAACCTAGGACTTGTTTCCCTTTTCCCACCCCTTTGTTTCTCCTTTCCACCCCTTTGTTCCTGGTTGGTCACAGAGAGCGGCACAGGAGGAGGTGGTGGAGAGCAAGGGGGAGGTGAGATGGCTGGAGGAGCAGGTAGGAGTCGATGCGGGAAGAGGGGTTGCTGCACACGACACGGCTCAGGGCTGCTGTTGCGGCTGCTGAGAAGCGGGCGCAAGAGGTGAGAGAGAGGAGAGGAAAGGTCGAGAGACGATGAGGTAAGGAGCGAAGAGTTAAAGAGAGTAAAAGTTCGAGGGAAGAGGGGCAGCTGCATACGGCACGGCTCAGGGCTGCTGTTGCTGCCGCGGAGATGCGGGCACAAGAGGTGAGAGAGACAGGAGAGGGGTGGGGGAATGAGAGGGAGTTTGCAGAGTGTATTGAGTATTTTTCAACAGCGTGTTGGGGGAAGAGGGGCAGCTGCACACGGCATGGCCGAGAGCTGCTGTCTCTGCTGCTGAGAAGCGGGCGCAAGAGGTGAGGCAGAGGGGAGGGGAAGGGAGAGGAGAGGTAGGGAGAGTAAGAGTTTCAGGGGAGAGGGGCAGCTGCACACCGCACGGCTCAGAGCTGCTGTCTCTGCCACTGAGAGACGGGCGCAGGAGGAGAGAAAGAGGGATGTGGTATGTGGTTCGTGTCTGGAGTTTGACTTGTGTCACTGCGCTGTGTTCCATGTGTCGTTGCCTGATTGCAGGAAGCTGAGCGGGCCAATGAGCTGCAAGCGTTGCTTGCAGAGAGAAAGGAGACGTCAGACAGAGAGACCAGGCTTCTTGAAGAAAAGGTTTCATCGCTAGAGTCCAAACTGAGCGAGACGGAGTTGAAACTGGCTGTTACAGTGAACAGTGCGATAGCAACTGCCAGGTCAGCACTCCTGCCGCCCACCCCTGCTTCGCCAGTAGACGCCTCGTTATTGTCGTGTGAAGGCTTCGGATCAAGCATTGAAAACAGTGAAAGCAGTACTCCTTCTGGTTCACTCAACAGCAGTGAAATCGGCAGCAGCATGAGCAGTGGCAGCGTCAGCAGCAGCAGTGGCGGCAGGAGAGGGAGGCGGAAGGGGGAGAAGAGCAGGAGCAGCAGCCCTGCCAAGGCGTCCCAGCATGGAGGGGAGCACGGAGGGAAGCACAGAGGGGACTGAGCTCGTCAAGGGGAGCAGTGCAGCAGAGGGTACAGCGTTGGGCAAAGATGAAAGCACAAAGTCGGGAGAGTTGGGAAAAGGGGAAAGCGCAGAGGGGACAGCTTTGGAAGATGGGGAGGTGTGGTAGAGTTGACAGTGCTGGGCAAAACGGAAGGTCCAGAGGTTGCAGAATTGGAGCAAGATGGAAGCAGAAGCGAGGAGCAGAGCACAGAGGGGATGGAAGCAGGGAAGGCGGGCAGTGAAGAGTTGATGGGAGGAGGCGAGGCGAGCAGCACGAACGAAGGAGCGGGAGGAACTCTCGAGAGCAACGCTGCTGCTGACGCTAAAGCTGAAGCTGAGGCTGTGGCAGAGGCTGAACCTGAAACGTCTGCTGTTGCTGCAGACGCTGAGCTTGCTTCTGCTGGTGCTGTTCCGGCTGGTGTTGGTACACAGGGTGATGGCAATGGTGAGGAGGGTGTTGGTGCGTTGGATGCCTCTGCTGCAGCAACGGTGCATGTGGAGGAGGAAGAAGCTGCGGTGATCAAGGCTGATGTTGAAGAAAGGGCGGGCTGGCCCAACTGCTGGTGCAGAGGTGTCAGTTCGTGGAACGCCGAATGAGGCCCTTGGCACGCCCGAACGAAATGACTTGAAGGTGCAGTACTTGAATGGGAAGGGGATGTGTGAAGGTCACATCAAGGGGGTACTACTGGTTTTGAGGCGCCTCAAAACTAGGCGCCTCAAAACTAGGCGACCTCAAAACTAGATGTGTGAATGGTCACATCAAGGGGGTACTACTGGGTAAGGTCGCTGATTGCACATGCATGGCGTGCCACCCTACATGGCATGCCATTCTGCATGGCATGCCATTCTGCATGGCGTTGCCATTCTGCATGGCGTGCCATTCTGCATGGCGTGTATGTGCAGGCCACCGTATTGGTCTACCTCCCCCCAGCTCCTTCTATCATCGCTGACATTTTAGACTCCTCAAAAGTCCTTTTTAAGGTTGCTCTTTCCTGTCTTACTGTCCCACTGTCCCCTCTCCTGTCTTTGCGATCACCCTCCTTCCCACCAATGCCATCATCAGGTGCATGACTTTTTGAGGCGCCTCAAAAGTTGTCCCACTGTCCCCTCTCCCTGTCTTTGCCATCACCTTCCCACCAATACCGTCATCAGGTGTATGCGAAGGGCATCTTCCCTGCGTATGTGTCACTCGACGCATCTATCATGGAGTTAAGAGATATCTCAACACCCTAACCCTCCTTATCGCCATCACCCTCCTCCCAATCCCAATGCCATCATCAGGTGTATGCGAGGGCCATTTTCCCTGCGTATGTGTCACTTGACGCGTCTATCATGGAGCAGAGCCGCGGCGTGACAGCCATGGTGCAGGTACGGCGGTCGTGGTATGGTGGTAGTGCGTGTACGCAGGTATGGTAGTGCATGGAGGTATGGTTAGTGTGTGTCTGCAGGTAAGAAACTTAATGCATGTATGGTATTTCATGCACGTAGTGCTCCGCGTATGTATAGTACCCCGCATTATTCCATGCATGCATGATATCCCGTGCGTGGATACTACTGCATGTCTAGTGTATGTGATGCATGCATTTTTGTCATGTCTAGTCATGTCTTATCCATGCATCTTTTTTCCATGCTATCCCAGGATATGGTAAAGATGGGGGCGGACAAATCATGGGCCAAGCGTCATGTGGAGGAGGAGTTATTGAAACCCGCGCTGACACAACAAGTAGCCGTTGCTGCTGCTCGCGCGGTGGGTACTCGCACTCGGCGGAAGCAAGGAAGGCAAGCCAAGGCAACTAACAGTAACACTAACAAATCAGCTGATGAAGAATCAAATGCAGGAGACCTGGATGGTAAGGTGGTTATGCAGTAGACTAAAAGCTTGGGCAATGAGCTATCATTATGATGGTTTGAGTAGTGCTTGTAAAGTGGATTAAATGGAGCGTGCTCCACTCATCCTTGCACATTTGAAGGTTTGTGTGATCCTTTGAGAACAATTAGGATGTTTTACATAGATCTCAAAGTGGGAAAATGGTTTTTACAAAGCGGATTGCGTGCTGGTGCTGTCGCAACCCTTGATGGCTTACAGGCTCATCGTGGCCGTTGCGTAGAAAACGGGGACACTCGAAAAAGTTTTTGCTGTTCTGGGAACAGTCGAACTACATACGTGGATGTCCATTGGCCCCCGAAATTGCTGAAGGGCGGCGGAACAGCCTTCCCTTACCTCAGCGTCTGCTTCGGACGAAGGAGGCGTGTCGTGTCGTATTTGAACGAATTCCGTACCGCTCCGTCCGTCCCCTGACCACAACCACTTGGCAGGAAGACCGCTGGTAGAGTCCGAGCCTGGTGTAGTCAAACATTGGTGAACCAGTCACGGCACGGGCATGACGAACCGTCTGAAGAGCCACGGAAGGGCGTCGTATTGGACCCTGCTGCTACTGATTTGCCTGAAAGTTTGATCTGGGCAAACCTTCTGCGGCCAATATCATTGATACTCAAAGTATGCCAGAGAAACTTTGCATCGGTACTCAACCTCGATTTCTCATCGCTGACTGGTTCTCGCTTTTCAATCGCACTTTCACGCTAATAACACCTCCGAAATGTGACAGAAACAAAACGCGATTACCTAAGTTAAATATGAACAATTGTGTCGAGGTGCTACCCAAGCAATAAAAAATTGTATCAAGCGCAAATTGCGCTAAAAAAAATAATCATTAGGAAAAAGGATGCAGACTGGGAATAATTCAGGTGCTACCCTGCGTCGACCATGGTCCTGCTCACCTAGAACAGAAGAAAACTAAAACCACATCGAATTGCATGTTATGTAACGGGGCATCAACCTTAAATGTCATGCGACAAGGTGTTTAAGGTTGATGCCATCCGGAAATGATGCCCTTCCGCATGGAGTTCATTTTTAATTGCATGCGGGCAGCAAGCTCTGCTGGACGGTCTCGTTTGACCGGGCAGCAAGCGGAAGGCATAGTTCTAAACACTTGACGGCTCATTTAAGGTTAATATCCAAGCGTTTTAGTATTTTTCCTGTTTTGTTGGGTACGTGCGGTTGAAGTGCTGGTGGCTACTTTGTTTTAGAAGTGTGCTTAAAACCGGATCAAACAGTAAATGTAGTTACGATACCGAGAAAATGTTGGTTGATTATGTTCGCAAACCGCGACTGGCATAATCTGAGTATCAATGATATTGGCCGAACCTTCTGGACGAACATCTCGGCTCGGCTCGGCCCCGCACGGTTCGGTCCTCCTCACCTCAATTGACCTGACCTCCTCCCCACCGCCTTTTTCCAGAAGCCCAAGTTATCCAACCCCAACCCCATCAACCTCGTTCATCAGGATTCAGGTCA